ATAGTTAGTCAGACTCTTCATGTAATGATTGTAACTTCAATGCTAAGTTAATAAAGTTCGCATGTAATGCACTTTGCTTCTAAAAAAAAAAAAAAAAAAAAAAAAAAAAAAAAAAAATTTATTTATAAAAAAAATAAATTAAAAATCAATAAAGATTAATAAAAAATATTATAATAGAATAATATAAAAAATTTCTATATTTATTATTTTATTAAAAAATTAATATAAGTTTATATATAAATATTTAAAAAATATAAAAAAACTCTTTTTCATATATAACTTGTGAATCTATAGTACAATAGTTAACACTTCACAAGTCCAATCACAAGATACCAGTTCAATTCCAGATGAAAGTAATTGAATAGAACTTATATGGTATCCAATATCATAATCTGTTATGTGTTGTTTTTCATGTAAAGCTATTTTACATACTGATTTAATAGACATTGAAATTGTGATTTTCAGAAAAATTGTTGTAATACAATAATCATTCAGGTGGTATTACAATGATTACTGAAAGTATGTCTATAGTAGTTGAATAATATAATAAGCTAAGAAGCATATGTTTAACTTTTTTAATTAAGATTTTTTCTTGCATTTGGATATACAAACTAGGCTATACTCCATCCTAATCCAATTATAGTTATTGATATTACTGTTAATTATCTAGTAAGAAGGTTTTAAAGATCCATACTATTTTTATCACTTCTGTATTAAAGTTTAATTTCAATGAATCATAAGTATATAGGAGTTGCATCCTGCTTAATATTTGTATTTCTAGATTTGGTAACTTAGGCCAACTGGTTTTGAATTGAAGTGTTTACTAGAAGATTAAGAATCGATACCCTTTAAGAATTATGTTTTACTTGACTATATGACCTCTAAATTTGGTAATGTCCAATTAGCAGTCAAAACCGGAGTATTTATTAAAAAGTATATACAAACTTTAAGAGTCTTACTATTATATTAAAAAGAAGTGATAGAATAACAAGAGAAGCTACTTATATAAAGAATTAATAATATATATCTTTATAAGAATAATAAAAAACTTAAGTCCTATAAATTAGATAGTTTAAAACTAATAGTAGGATTTCTATCCTTTATAGTCCTCTGGTATTATAAAGAAAAGTCACAAAATGACATGTTTCTAGGTATTAGATAATTAAAGTTAATAAGCTAATATTTAATTATCATTATATACTACAAAGGATAACTAGAATTAATAACCTGCTTTCCAAATATGACTTGATGTATAGCAAGTAAAGAATGTATTCCACCTTAAACTTCATCTGAATAACTTGCTCAAATAGCTAAATAGTCATTATCCTGACTAAGATATTTAGTAAAGATTGGCTTTTTATTTGACCATCTAGTATTTGACCTTCTTTATCCTTCTAGGATTACAGCAGATTACAGGTTATCCAAGCTTACAACAGTTATTTATACCTGTAGCAAGTAGAAAAGAAAATAACCATTTTTTATAGGAAGCTTCATATGCATAACTGCATTATTCAAGTATTTGGATAAGATCCAGCACAAGTATAAAGTAAAGAAAAGAGAAGGAAAAATATTAAACATGTATTGATAGTTGTTAAGAAAAGTTGTTAAATGTGATAAAATTGAAATTTCTTATAAATGTTATTATCTAACCTTATATACTAAAACCTATATTGTTGAAAGGATAAATAAAGAATTTTTGTTGTTATCACTAGCTTGTATTATAGGAGTAACTAGAATTCCTAGTTTTTATATATTATTCTACTATGCAATTCAATCATTAGCATGATATCTATAACCAAACTGATTGTATTGACATTGGCTATCATATTACTGTGAATACTATAGGATGCAATTCCTTGAAGACTTCAGATAATAATAATTATATATCGATTTTTTAGATGTATCTAGTCTAACTATTAGCAGGTAAACTATACTGGATTTGATAATAATAACCATGTTGATTTTTTGGAGAGGGTAAATCCTTTATCTTTTTTTTATAGAGCCATGAAAGAAAAAAAATTTCAAAGCTTATATCTTGAGAGAAGTTATCAATTTTTAATATAACTCTTGAGAGAGAAAAGGTAACTAGTCAGAGGATTGATGTTATGAAGTAGTTTTTGTAAAAGAAAGAGAGATTTAAGAAGGAAAACCTTCAAAAAAAAGAAAAAACCTAGCTTCAGCAAGAAAAAAATGTTTTGAAGAAAAATAAAATAAAATAAAAAAAGGGAATAAAAAGATATAAGGAAGTGAAAAAAAGTAAACAACTCAAAAATTTTTTAAAAAAAAAATTTTCAAATGTAGAAGAGAAAGTAGGAAAGAGTTTTTTTTTAAAAAAAATTATATATACTTTATTATTTATATCAATAAATATTATACTTATTTCTTAAAAATATAATTTTTTTTTTATAGATTTTTATAGATTATTTGATTTTGTTCTAATTTTAATTAATTATTTTTTTTTTTTTCAAATTTTCTTTATATTTTAAATATATTTTAAGTAAATAAGCATAATTATTACTTGGCTTATATTTAGCAACAATATTGTTTTAAAATTTCTTTTTCAGTATTAACTATTTATAATAGTAGTAGATATGCTAGTATTTAACTTGTTGTATGTTTTGTATTCTTGAAATATTGTTTTTTTTTAAATGTATACCTTGTAATAAATAAATAAATAAAAAAATGATGTTTATCTATAAAAAAAAAATCAAAAAGTAAAAAAAAATTATTGAACTCAAATATCCAAATTTTTGGTTTAATTTGTTAGTAAATTAAATTAAATTACATAACTCTTCACTATATGTGTTTCAAACAAATATTTGTCATGGATTAATAATCCTGTTTCGCACACGTTTTGACTAATTCTTTGACTTTACATATATGGTTACGATTATTTGAAACAAATATGCTAAGACTGCATGATTATCAAACCATGGGAATATCTGTTTACCGATATAAAATGTCCGATTAGACGATTTAAGTAATCTTTAGATAATTTTGTCCACGGTTGGGAACATGTCTGAAAAGAAAAATATGCCGCTTACTGGTGTCGTTACAATTATTGGTATGTATGCTGGTGTTTGGCCAAGCTTTTTTTTTGAAAGGGAAAAAAGAATATCAAATAATTATGCTTGTTACATATATGTTAAGTTTTTGGTGCCTCCGGAGACCTTGCCAAAAAGAAGACTTTTCCCGCATTATTCGGTCTTTATCGAAATGGTTTCTTGCCTGAAGGGACTCATGTCATTGGTTACTCCAGGTCGAAGATGGATTTGCAAGAATTTCGCACGCGCATTTCTGGATACATAAAAGCTCCAATCGCTGAGATCAAAGAACAATTATCGAAATTTTTAGAGATTTGCACATATATTTCTGGTCAATATGATGATGATGATTCCTATCGAGCCTTGAATAAATCTATCGAAGAGGTTGAGAGTTTGTCGAACTTGGAAGTGCGAAATCGAGTTTTTTACATGGCATTGCCTCCTAGTGTTTTCGTACCTGTAGCGAGTGGCATTAAAAATTTTGTATATTCCACGAGGGGTGAAAATCGACTAATCGTCGAGAAACCCTTTGGCAAAGATTTGGACAGTTCTCGTGAATTAGGCAAGGCATTAGAACCATTATGGAAAGAAGAGGAGGTATTCAATTATTCAATTTTCTTTAAAAAGATGGTCATACATTTCGATTGTGTCGATACAACCATTGAATGCATAATAGACCTACCGCATCGATCATTATCTTGGGAAAGAGATGGTGAAGAATCTTTTAATCATCCGTTTTGCCAACGTCTTTTTTGGAGCAATCTGGAATCGTCAAAGTATTTCCAACGTACAGATTACGTTTAAGGAAACTTTTGGTACCGAAGGACGCGGTGGATACTTTGACGAGTTTGGTATCATTCGCGATGTCATGCAAAACCGTGAGTATGCAGTCTTACACAAACTCCCAGATAAGTGTGTTTTGACACGGTCTCATTCACTAGATCTCCTACAAATTTTGAGTATTGTTGCCATGGAACGACCCGTGTCTTTAAGTGCGGAAGATGTTCGTGATGAGAAGGTACCTTTTACATAATTGCGGTCGGTCAATCATTCGATAGCGTCTCAATTTGATTCCCATTTTAGGTTCGTGTTTTGCGCTGTATTCCACCGGTGAAATTGGATGACGTCCTTCTCGGGCAGTATACCAAGTCGGAAGACGAAGACGGCGTCAAACCTGGATATTTAGATGATAGTACTGTACCTCCCGATAGTAATTGTCCTACTTATGCGGCAGCAACCTTGTTTATAAACAATGATCGTTGGGAAGGTGTTCCCTTCATTCTCAAATGCGGAAAGGGTAAGTTTTATTTTATTCTCTTTGGTTTTCCCCTTTATTTCTAGATTCGAATTTTGATTCCGGTTTGTTCACGTCGTCTAATAGCCCTCAATGAGCAAAAGACGGAAGTTCGCGTGCAATTCCAAGATGTGCCTGGCAATGTATTTAAGAATGCTCCTCGTAATGAGTTGGTCATTCGTGTACAACCTGGCGAAGCTGTTTATATGAAGATGACCAACAAGCTACCAGGCCTTTCAATGGAAACGGTTATTTCAGAATTAGATCTTACCTATCATCGACGATTTTCGGATTTCAAAATTCCTGATGCGTATGAGGCCTTGATTCTTGATGTGTTAAAAGGCGATCACTCCAATTTCGTAAGAAACGATGAGTTAGATGCAGCCTGGAAAATTTTTACACCGATCCTACATCAAATTGATCAAGAAAAAATAAAACCCGCGCCCTATCCTTATGGATCGCGTGGACCTGCGGGAATTGAGGATTTCGTCTCCAGATACGGCTTCAAGAGATCTACCAAAGAATATAAGTGGGCAGACCCAAGTCAGTATTAATAGTAAACTCTGTTTTTCATCGCATATTTTGTTTGAATTTCAGTAATCTCAATCCTTTTCTTGATACGTATTATTTAAGAATTGAAGGCCACTAAGCTTTGATGTCAAATTGTGGATATGTTTACTGTTAATTCGTGTCGAATTACAGTTTTCAATTCTTTCCTGCGGACCTTGTAAAATTATGAATTTTGTAGAAATTTTTTGTATTTTTATATTGTCATCAAATAAATGCACCAATATGTACTTTATATCGCGAACCTCACGTGATATTAACTTTTTTTTCGAGAAAATCATCACTTTTTATAAGTCTTACGTGTGGCACGCACATGAGCTTGTCTTTTAACCTTTTCGTTATAATGCTCTCTTGTTGCCCTGTAACTATGTGTTATACGCAGATACTTCGGCGCAAGTTTACAAATTAATATTAATAAAAAATTAAGTATGGAGACAGTATTTGGTGTGTATCATGATACAGCCAGTTTAATAGAGAATAACCATAAAACACCAGAGAAAAAGGAACTCGAAGATTCGGAAGCAAAAAATACTATTAAGAATATTAACAAGACAGCAGTTCAGAGGTCTTTGGATTTACCAAATCCCATCCAGTCTATCTTCAATTCAAGATTCTCAATTTCACCTGCAATCTCTCCTCACACAACCCCTCCGACATCACGTCCATCCACTCCGTTGTTAGATGTGTCAGGTAACAGGTCCACCCTCATTCCTTCTGTGAATGGGCTTTTATATCCAGTGGATGCTAGGGAACAGCAGGAAACCATTTCCAAGAATAAATCGGACCCATCTCGCATTGAACAAAGTCACCCTCTCACCACTTCAATCATTTCTCCTTTGGCAAGGACCGCGTACCAGGACCCCTCCTTTTTTCAAAATGTGAAAAAAGCAACAGGGATGGTTGAGGGTGAGGATCTGTACAACCTTGCTAAACGTCCTTCTTCGCCATGGAATCTACATAGAACTGGGGATAATTTTACGTCCGGTCTCGAAGGTGAAGATCCGTACAATCTCGCTAAGCGTCCTTCTTCGCCATGGAATCTACATAGAACTGGAGATAATTTTACGTCCGGTCTCGAAAAAGGTTCGTCCAAATAATTTTTGATTGTATACAGTAAAGAATAAATGAATAAATGCAGTAAAGGGGAAAGGTTGAGGTGAGTGAAGATTATTTTTATTACTTTTTTTTTTTTTTTAATTTTATTATTATTATTTTATTTTTTGGTGTGGTATCTCTGAATCAATACCCTGATTTGTTGACGAAATTTGAAATAAAAAGTACTTAAAAAATTTTTAGAGAAAATATATATATAAGTAAATTTTTACTTTTCGATTGCAATCCCATGATACATTAAAGAAAAAAAAAGATTCCATTTTGTGAAATGTGGTCGATATACTGTATATATATATATATATATACGTGTGTAAAGGAATTTACACAATCGGAACAATAAAAAAAGAGAATCCAAGAGCATACTCATCAATTCTTCTCGAAATAACATTTCAAAACATTCCCGTGATTTTTTCAGAAAAAAAAAAAAGTTCGTAACAGCAGAGAATGTGTCAAGGTTAAGAAAGGGCATAAAAAGTTTTAGTTTCCAAAACGCATACCCGTTTTACGTCAACCAGTCATGATTATTACAGTAATTAAGATTTTAGCGAAGGCATTTTTGACTCGGTCGAATCGTGTTTGTTCGTGTCACCTCTGAGATTCGTTTTTAACTCTTTTTTAACATCCGCTTGACTCGTTCGTAACGCTAATTTGGCCTTTAACTCTTCCACCTCTTTCTGTAATCGAGCGCATTCTTCAAGTTGACTCGTTTTCGAACTTAATTCTTCGATTTCTCTCTGAAGTCGAATGTTTTCTTCCTCAAGGCGTGTAACTTTTTCCTCGAGATCTGCAACGTAAGCTTTTTTCTTACGGCGGCATTCTTTTGCGGCAACTCGATTGCGCAAGAGTCGCCGTTGTCTTCGCTCGTCATTCGAAAGATTACGAGAAGTGGAATTACGTTTTCCACTAGAGTTAGTATCTTGAAGCTGCCCTTGCGTCTGAACTTGTACTTGAGTAGTCGCCGTTGCCGCATTACTCAAAAAATCAACCATATTTGCGTTAGGTGTCATTTCTGAAACACCAGACTGTTGACTGGAAGATAAGGGAGCAACTGCAATTGGGGAGCTCACCGAATTCGCTAGAGATGTGGCAGCCGACAAATTGTCCGTGAAATGGTGATGAGAATTATCAACCGCCTGAACCGTAGCCACTGTTGACAGTAAGGTCGCTGCGTTTGCTGCAATAGAATTGGGGTCGGATCCTCTTAAGGTTGTTCCTTCGACTAATTTATCTACTGATTTTTTTGACCCTTGAGTTGCTTTACGTTTTGCGTCGCCCTGACCAACAATATCACTTGGTGCTGTTCTTTTAAGTGATTTTTGTGCTTCTTCAGTCCTAGTTTGTTTTTTATCTACTTTATTTCTATTCGTGATGGCCGTTAACTTGTCGTCCGCAGAAGTTTGTCCTTGTTGACTTGCGAACTGCACTTCTTGAGGCATGTCAGACGAGTGATGTGCAGGTAACTAATTTAACTAACTGATTCCTCGAATGCAAGTTATTTGAGAGTTGAGCCAGATGAGTATTTTTTTTATGTTATTATCAATTTGAAGGTGGCGCTATTGATTCCAAGAATTTTGCAAAAGTTTTCTTTTGGTTTAATTTACAGTTTATAGATGTCGCGTGTCGTCGCTCTATTATTTTTGGTATTGACGACGTCGCTTTTTTGACGACGTCGTTATTTTATGACGAGAAAAGGTGACGGCAGCAAAAACTGAAGTGACGTTTCGCTACTGCCAACAGGTATTACATATCTTACAAATCTATCAATTTATATATGGTTATTATCAGTTACGATCGCAAACGTCAGCCACATGTAAGTCCAGGCTAAAAAAACGAGTTTGTTTTCTTAAGTCTGGCCAAAAATTTTTATTTGGCACTTGTAACTATTATTATGCAAAAAGTTACATAATACATATGTAAGGCTTTTCGTAGTAGCAAAATCTAAGAATAATGAATAATAATACGGTAAACAAATTTGTTTATATTTCCGAAAGTATTCCCTCCACGTAACACTAGCCCCGGAGAACCACCTTTCTAAAAAAAATCTCCGACCTTTCCTACATGTGTCATGAGTCTTTCTAAAATTCGATGCATGAATCTTGACCATGGAAATATTGACATGCATAATATCGACCCCGAGTCTTTTCCATATTTATTGGTTTTCTGACTTTTAATCAATTGATACTGTATGTATAAAGTAAAAAAATAAATCAAGAAAATCTAAAATAATTGAACTTATTTAGTTTTACTAGATAATTTTATTATTATTATTTTTTGCATTTATAATTAAATATCGTTTAATTTATTTTGTACAAAATGTTTTAATTTAAGCAGAAAATATAATAACAAGTAATATTACATTTTTTAAACAAAAAAACATAGAATAAAACTGTAATTTAGCAATGAACAAATACTTTATGTTTTAATAATATATAACATATTTAAAAAGCTTGAATAATAAAACGTGAAAAATTATAAAAAAAAAAGCATTATACTGTATATAATAAATTAATATATTTTATAAAATCTGATGGGTTAAACAAGAATTTAAATAATAAAAATTATTAAAGATAAACGTTTAAATGTATTTCAAACCGATTTGACATTATTTGATTTTTTTGATTGAAAAAATCTTTGAACAAACTTTTATAAATAAGTAATGTCAATATTTATATTGATATTTGTATAATTGCTTTTAATAACAATCAAATAAAAAATATATATAACATTAGAAAAATATATAAAATATAAACAGATTTGTTACTTTTCTAGTAGAAGTTAAATGATTACTGTAGGCAAGCTAGCATTAAACTCATTGCAAATCGCATGTAAGAGATGTTGTTTCTTTTTAAATGTATATCCTGTAATATATGAATAAATAAAAAATGGTGTTTACCTACTCAAAAAAAAAAATAAATAAGCAGATTTGTTAAAGCTTACAATATATTATAATCTTATTAAATTAAAAAAAAAATGAAAATATAATTTATTAAAAATATAAGAATTATTTCTTGAATCTTTTTTTAAAATTAAAAACTATTAATAAAATAAATAAATAAAAGTTCAAGTATCTTATGTTATTATTTAATTTATTTAATTTAACTTAATTATATAAAAAACTATATTATAAAACATCAATATTAAAAATAATAATTACAAAATTATATTAATATTTTGATAAAACAATTTTTAATTATTTAAAAATATTATAAAATTTTGATATAAAAATAATAATAAATTTTGAAAATTAAAAAAAAATTTTTTTTATTTAAAATAAATTATAAAAAAATAATAAATTTTGAAAATTAAAAAAAAAATTTTTTTATTTAAAATAAATTATAAAAAAATAATAAATTAAATTTTTTTATTTTATTTTAAAATTATTAAATATTTAATATATTAAAAATTGTTTTTTAAAAAAAAAATTCTTTTTTAAAAAAACTTTATCTAATATAAATAAAAATATTATAGATACAGTATGAATATAAAATTTAAATAATTAAAATATAATTTTTTTTAAGTAGATAAATATTATCACTTTATTAATCATATAATTGTTTAAAATTTATATATGAAGAAAATGATATCTTTTATATAACTTGCTAAACTAATAAGTCTAATGCTAATTTGTTTATATAAACTATTTAAACAGTAAAAAAAATAAATATTAAAATATTATACATCTAAGATAGTATCAAGCAACTATAAATACTTACTCAGATTTATATATAAAATAATTATAAAAAATGAAAAATTAAAGAAAAAATGAAAATACTAAACAAAAATATAAATATAAAAAAACCAATTGTAAAGCTATAAATGTTTCAAATAAAATCAATAAACATATCATACTGGTAGTTCCATTTAATTGAAGTACAGTAATTATATTTCCAGAAATGATCAAGCTATTGTTTAAAATATATAATAGTGTTGATAATATATTTCTTTAATAATTAATTGGTTGTAGTAGTATTATTATTATTGTAATATGATTATTGATTGATTTGTTTTTTGATAGTATGATTTTTGTTTTGGTTATTATTACTAGAAAAAACTTTGTTTATATTGATTAATATATGGATTTTAGTTATACAAATTTGTTTAAAAAATTGATAGTATTTATTGATTGATTTTGAAATATTGATCAGTTAACAGAAGTAAACTGATTATAGTTTTTTAATAGAAAATTTTTTGTGTAAAAATTTTTTAAGTTTTTATAACACAATATTATATGCTAAGCAATGTTAAGAAATATATATTGGATATATTGCTAATGCTTTAAGCTAACTATATAAACAATATTAATATAAAGTTTGGTTTTTGAAATAAAAAAACAGTTCACCAAAAAAAAAATTTGTTTATTTAATAAAAAATATATATTAATAAGAAATAAAAATGAAAAAATCCAAGAAAAATTTATAAAGAAGCAATTACTACAAGCTTTTCTTTATGTAATTCAAGAAGAAAACAAGAGTATCAAACTTGTTTTCTCTTAATCAAAGGTTCCATCCTGATATATCAATATACTTTTTTAATTTCCTTAAGGTTCTTATAATAAAAATAAAGGAGATGTATAAGACTTTTGAATATTGAAAAATAAAAAAAATATTTGTTTCTTTA